GAGAGAGAGAGAGGAGGGGGAAGAAAGACAAGGAAAGTTGGAGAATCAGATTATTATTATTCAAATTATCTAATAAATCAATTCTTGTATTATAATATACTTTATTACGGACTTAATTTGTCTCTCTATTTGAAAGCGAAAATGCAATTTCTAGAACTTTGTGCTGCCCTAAATCAATGTCGAGTAATTGTATCCGGGATTGCGAAACGCGGGTACTTATCTTTTGAACGAATTACGGATCTCGATTATCGAATAACGCAAGATTTGACAAATAGCGACAATATCCCTGTGGATCAATGCGGGTCAAAGGGCCGAAACCATTCCAACCATTCACTGTATCGATTATTGGGAGCCTTACCCAAAGTACCATTCGGTACTTAAGCGACAGTCTGACAGTGTAATAGGATTTCCACAGTAATGCGACAGTATCAATAATCAGACACATTGAAATTAATCCGAGCTGTTTGCCGGATAACAGTAATATGGAAACAAATTATTAACCATTCTGGAGAATATTAACAGAACATATCCGCCAGTTAAAAGAAATCGATAACATTTTATTAGTTCGAATCTTTTATTGCTGCCTTATAATATTCGCACAAATATTTTTACCGTTAAAATTATTTATTATAGATGAGACAGAAAAAAACCGTGAAAATTTTCTTGAATTGAATTATAATTGTTTCTTTTTAAATATTGTTTATCAAGATATTTAACTTGATAGTGATCTACTAAGAAATCTACTAAGAAATAAAAATATTCATTTTTTTTTAATTTGAAAATTTATGAGATAAACTATAAATTATATTAAAATTATTTAGTTAAGATTATAAACAAAGATAAAAATATTTATAAGACTTGAATTTTTTAGGAAAAATTTAATAATTTATGATATAAAATTTTTTATGATTTGGTTTAATTCAATTTAATGTTAGAAAAAAATTATTTAAATAATTTAAATAGTCGTAAAATGTTAATGTGAGTATCAAAATTGTAAAAATTTATAATAAATTTTACGAATTTTTTATAAATAATTTAAGTAACTCGGTAAATTAAATAAATTCACATGTTTAATGAAAACATGTAATTGTTCGCGACGTGAGTGAAATAAAACCGCTATATTCCACAGATGAGCACCTTGAGAATTCGCAAAACGATGGAACCGCGAGATCGAGTGATGTTGCGTGCACAAGGACGTGGATAAGAACGTTGAAACGCGTGTAATACCGTTGCGGTAATACCGTAAACCGGAAAAGAATGAAACTAGGCGCAATAAAGGAGCTGAGAATACTCGGCAAGCACGGGGGGCAATAAGTCTGAAATATGCCGGCGTTTTATTCTCGCCGTACGA